TGGGGGGTGGGGGGTGGGGGGTGGGAGAGTGGTGCTGCTAATGGCAACAACTAACCTAGCCATTAGTAATGCCTAACGAGTTAATCAGTGTCTTACTTTATAATTGTTGGTTCTAAGTTTGGAATTTGAATTTTTAAGACTTCTTGAGAAGATCTCTTACTCCTGCAGAAGCTTTCTCTTGTGTGATTCGAGCTGTGCATCTCTTTTCCTAGTTTCTCCATCATCCCTAATTCATGTGCTCTTCATCACCTAGGAATTCCTCCACATTTTTATTCTCATGATGGCAACCTTTCCTTTCTCTTTTGTCATTTCAGTTTGTTAGGTTTTTCAGTCTAACTGTCTTAACCACATACATACTAGTAAGTCTTAAATCTGTATTCCTAGCACAGTTCTCTCTCATGAGTTCCAGACCATATACCTCACTGCTTAATGAACAGTGCTGCAAGGGCATGCCACCAGCACCACAAACTAAACAAGTCAGGTTTTGAGTTTGTTGCCTGTCCCCCTTTCCTATGTTAATGTGTAGCACCACCACACCTGGTCACTCAGGCGGAAACCCGGCATGCTTGGTGCCTCCTTTCCCTTGCCTTCCAGGTATTGTTTGTCATTATGCAATCTAGAATAAATCTCTTCCTGTCTCATCTCCTTCACAAAAAGCTGCTTGTAATTTTCCTGAACATGTCATATTTTCTCTCTACCTTTCCCTTTTTTTTTTCCCCTGTCATTTTCTCCCAGAATTCTTTCCGAGGCCCCAAGGTTTGAATTGAGCATTCCTACTCTGTGCTCTCATGACCATTTGTGCACACAGCTGTTGTGTTGTGTTGTGCATACATCTGTGCTGCTTACATGGTGGTATCATTGTTGCTGTGTTTTCTTCCCAGGATTCTTTACCATGTTAAGCAAAAGGATTTTTCTCCTCCTTGTATCTTCCATGAAAGTAGAAATCAATTAAATGCAGATTTAATTAAATGAAGTGAAATGAAATGTTATTTATGACAAGGATATAGGATTTATAGCTTTCTGCACAATTCATGAAGGAATACTATTATTGGCTATGCTTAAAAGCAGAGAGAGAATTTCAGTCTTCTGCACCCAGGTCTTCTCTCCTTCTAACATGACTGTAAGAACAAGCTGAACTTTTTTGTACTTACTAAGCCTTCAGGACTTAGGCACTCCTGTTCTGAAAACTTATAATCTACCCTTTGTTTTTATCCCTGAATTCTCTTTGTTCCCTAGGAGACATGAATGAAAATTCTGTGGAGAATCTTCAAAGAGAAAGAACTTCAAGATCTCTTACATGAGCTTTCCTGCTGGCTAATTTTGGAAGAGATGGCCAATATAATAACTGGGAGTCAGGATTATATTGTGAATCTTCAAGGGGAAGTGCATAAAGACCCTGAACTAGATTTTTCCCCTTGTCAAAAGTGGGGAGAATCATCTCATATTTCCAGAAACAAGAACATTGTGGTGACTCTTCAAAGTGATGATTTCAAAAATAATGAAAGTGAAAACTACTTGTCTTTGAAAGTCCCAAGCCAAGTAATGACACAAGACTCTTCAGTGACGTTCTGTAAGAATGAGCCTCAGGATCCTCAGGAAAGCAAAGGTCTCTTTGTAAGTAGAGAAGGCACTGAGAGAAAAGTGATAAGTGGGGGAAGTCCTCTCACAGACCATTGTTCAGACAACCTTCAGGTTAAACTTGTGTCTGATGTAATGGAACTGGTCTCGCCGGTGCTCAGTGGCAAGGCAACTTGCCAGAATGGCCAGTCGAAAGAATCGTTGGATCCCTTTGACTGTAACTGCAGAGACGTTTATGGATGGAAATCACGGCTGGTCACTTGTAGTCATCGGAGAGCTCAGACAGAGGAGAAACTCTGTAACCATAATGACTGTGGGAAAACATGTAATACCAGCCCAGATGTTCATCCACATGAGAATATCCACACTGCAGAGAAACTATACAAATGCGATCAGTGTGGGAAGGGCTTCAGTCAAAGCTCAGAACTACTACTTCATCAGAGAGACCACACAGAAGAAAAACCCTACAGATGTGAGCAGTGTGGGAAGGGCTTCACGAGGAGCTCGAGTCTGCTCATCCATCAAGCAGTTCACATGGATGAGAAACCATATAAGTGTGACAAATGTGGGAAGGGCTTCACCAGGAGCTCAAGTCTGCTCATTCATCATGCGGTTCACACAGGTGAGAAACCGTATAAATGTGACAAGTGTGGAAAAGGCTTTAGTCAGAGCTCCAAACTGCACATCCATCAGCGAGTCCACACTGGAGAGAAGCCCTATGAGTGTGGGGAGTGCGGTATGAGCTTCAGTCAGCGCTCAAATCTACACATCCACCAGCGAGTCCACACAGGAGAGAGGCCCTACAAGTGTGGAGAGTGCGGGAAGGGCTTCAGTCAGAGCTCGAACCTTCACATTCACCGGTGCATCCACACAGGAGAGAAGCCTTACCAATGCTATGAGTGTGGGAAGGGCTTCAGCCAGAGCTCGGATCTTCGCATCCATCTCCGAGTCCACACTGGAGAGAAGCCCTATCACTGCGGCAAGTGTGGTAAGGGATTTAGCCAGAGTTCCAAACTCCTTATCCACCAGAGAGTGCATACTGGGGAGAAGCCCTATGAGTGCAGCAAATGTGGAAAGGGCTTCAGCCAGAGCTCCAACCTTCATATCCACCAGCGGGTTCACAGGAAAGATCCCTGTTAAGTGACCTGAGCCCACTCAGGTCTTCAAAGTGCTCCTACTATAAAGACTTAAATATTTTTAAGATCACCCTTACCTTTATGGTCTACAAAGAACAGATAATAGTTATTCAGATATGTTCTCTCATTGAAAAAGTATTCATCCTTTTAAAAGTATTTAAGTACCAAGCACTTTGTTATGCTATACAATGAATGGATTATTCTGGTTCCTCAGATGGGTAGAGTGAAAACATCTGTACTTTGCAATTCAGCTGGTGTTACTGGAACTACATGTCCTACCCAGCATTGTCAACTGCAGTAACTTTATATTTGTCTAAGCAGGACGTGTTTGCCTTCATTCACATTCTCTGAGAAATTAGAACTCTGGTTTCTCTTCAAATGATGGGCCTTGTGTTTTTCATTATTTCCTTTCAGTCGTGAGTAGCCCTCTGCCTTAGTTTTCTGTTGCTTATCACAGAATACCTGAAACTGGATCATTTAAAAAGAAGCAAAATTCATATCTTACATTTCCAGAGACTGGAAAGTCCAAGGTTCAGAGTGCACATCTGGTGAGGGCCTTCTTCCCAGAGGGGAGACTTTGCAGAGTCCCTGGGCATCATAGGACATCACATGGCAAGAGGGCAAGGGCAACTTCATATTCTCCCTTCCTCTCCTTATAAAGCCACCAATCTACTCCCACAACCACCCATTAATCCATAATCCATTCATGAGGGCAGTCACCTCTTAAAGGCCTCACCTTCAAATACTATTTTGGGGATTAAGCTTCAACATGAGCTTTAGAGGGGACAAACATTCAAATCATAGCACTCTCTCTAAACTATGATTGTACAATAAGTCATTTTAGGCTGAGGTGGTGGTTGGAGATACAATGGATATGGAAATCTCTTGTGTTTATTGCAAAAATGTGCAATAAGTTGTAGCCACACAACAAGGAGGTGGAGAAGAGTTAATCATGTAGTACACTCCCATGTACTATTTTGGCAAGAAATTGAACAACCCCTCCCCTCTCTCCACAACTGTCCAGGAATATAAGTATAGTTGTCCCTAGGTATCCAGGAGGGATTACTCCTAGGACTGTCTCGGATACAAAAATCTACAGATATTCAAGTCCCCTATATAAAATGGTGTACTTGCATATCCTTTTATATATTTTAATCATCTCTAGATTACTTAATACCTAACACAATGCCTACATATCACTTCATTTGCATGGGCCCAGTATAGTACTTGGGCATGTGACAAATTCAAGTTTGCTTTTTGGAACTGTGGAATTTTATTTTCCTGAATATTTTTGATCCAGCGTTAGTTGAATCCACAGGTGCAGAGCCAGAGGATTTGGAGGGCCACTGGCAGCTCTTTTTCCTGAGTGCGGCTGGTTTATTGGGGAACTTCCAGAGTGAAAGCAAGAAGGGTCCAGAGCAACATGCCTAAAGTAGTGGCCAGAGATATCTGAAGAATCCCCAAATATTTGGAAATTAAACAACACATTCCTAAATGAGCAATAGGTTGAAGAGAAAGTAACAAGGAAAACTTGAAAATATTTTGAAATGAATGAATATATCAAAATTTGTGGGATGCAGCTGAAGCAGAACTTAGAGGGAAAATTATAGCATTAAATACTTAGATAAGACAGATTTCAAATCAGTAATTTAAAATCCCACCTTAAGAAACTAAAAAAAAGCAAATTTAACCCAAAGTAAGCAGAAAGAAAATGATAAGAGCTTAAAATCAATGAAATAGTAAACGGACAAACAAAATTCAGTGGACTCAACCCTGGCTCTTTGAAAAGATTGATAAAAGAGGAAACATCACAACAGATCCTATAGACATTAAGAGGGCAATAAAGGAATTTTATTAACTTTATGAAAATAAATTCAACTTAGATGAAATGAAAAAATTCCCTGAAAGGCACATACTACCAAAGCTCACTCAGAGGAAAGAGATAACATGAATAGCCCTATTAAACTGAATTTGTAGCTGACAACCTTTCCATAAAGAAAAGCCAAGGCCCACATTGCACAAGTGAATTCTACCAAACTTTTAAGATATAATTATATACAAACTATTCCCAGAAGAAACACTTCCAAATTCATTTTATGAGACCAACATTACCCAGTTTAAAAAGCCAGAGAAGACATCACAAGAAAACAAAATCATAGGGCCAGCCCGGTGGCTCACTGGAGAGTGCACCGCTTGAGAGCGCGGCGGCACTCCCGCTGAGGGTTCGGATCCCATGTGGAGACCGGTTCCCGCTCACTGGCTGAGCGCGGTGCGGGCGCAACACCGAGGGTTGTGATCCCATTGCCGGTCCCCGGTACGGGCGCGACACCAAGGATTGCGATCCCTTTACCAGTCAGTAAAAAAAACAAAAAGGAAAAAAAAAATCATAGATCAATATCTCATGAATACACAGTTGACCCCTGAAGAACACTGGTTTGAGCTGTGTGGGTCCACTAAGCAGAACCCATGTAAATGTAAATAGAGGGCCAACTTTTCATATGCACAGATTCCACAGGCCCAACTACTTAAGAACTAAACTACTTAAGTTACTTAACTATTTAAGTGACGACATGGGGAAAGACATTTTCAACTGCACAGGAGGTCGGTTCCCCTAACCCCTGCATGGTTCGAGGGTCAAGTGTGGATGCAAAAATTCTTTCTGAAAATAGCAACTTGAAAACAGCAATGTGTAAAAGAATGGTAGTACATCATGGTCAAGTAGGGACTATCCTAGAAATGCAAGGTTGCTTCAACATTCCAAAAGCAATGTATTTTATCATATTAATACACTAAAAAAGAAAAATTATATAACGTTTGAAAGAGTTCAACACTCATTCACGATGGAAACCTCAGTTGATTAGGAATTAAAGGGAGCTTCCTCCATCTAATAAAGGGCATCTGTGGAAGAACCTGCAATTGACTTCATATTTAACAGTGAAATAAAGAGCATTTTCCTCAGATTAGGAACAAGGAAAAGATGTCTACTCTCACCACTTCTAGTCAACATTGTACCAGATATCCTAGTTGTTGCAATAAGGCAATAAAAGATAGACTGAAAGACAACGTAATATATCCATGTGCTGTGACATGATCATCTATACAGAAAGAATTCAGAGTCTATGAAAATGTTTTTAAAACTCATAAGTGAGTTTAGTACGGTCACAGGACACAAGCTCAATATATTACCATCAAACATTTAGAAGTTGAAATTAATAAAAGAATGCCATTTACAGTAGCATTAAAATCATGACATATTTAGGGATAAAAATATCAGGATATGTGCATGACCTATACTCCAAAAACTATGAAACAATGCCAAAAGTAAGTAAAGAAGTCCTAAATAGGTACACCATATTCGTGAATTATAAAACTCTAAAACCTAGAAAGTCAAAGCAACTTTTTAAAAAGATTTTTTTCAAGATAGTCAAAACAGCTTTTAAAAAGACTTTTACTTTTTTTTCAAGACTAACTGTAAAGCTATAGTAATCAAGATAGTATGGGATTGGAGTTATGATAGACATACAGATAAATGGCACAGAATTAGGCCCACCATGTATTTTCAGTTGGCTTTTGACAACGATGCAATGGTAATTTAATGGGGAGAGGATAGGGTTTTCAACACACAGTTCTGGGACACCTGAATATTTGTAAAGAGAAAAAAATGAATAAGCACAAAAACCATAAGGTGCTTAGAAGAAAATATTAGATAGGAAACAAAAAACTAATTATGAAAAGAAAAAAATAAGCTGGACTTCTTCCATTTTAAAACATCTGTTAGTTGAAATTTCATATTAAGAAAAGGACAGTTATGGACTGAGAGAAAATATATCTGATGAAGGAGGATTTGTATCCAGAATATATAAAGAACTCTTACAACCCAGTAATAAGATGTTTTAGTCCGTTTTCTGTTGCTATAACAGAAATACCTGAGACTGGGTAATTTATAAAGGAAAGAGGTTTATTTGGCTTACAATTCTGGCTGCGTCTGGCACGGACCTCAGGCTGCTTCTACTCATGGCGGAAAGTGGCAGCAGACGGCGGGTACAAGCAGATCACATGGTGAGAGGAAGCAAGAGAGAAGAAGTGCCAGGTTCTTTTTAAGCAACAAGTTCTCACGGGAACTAATAGAGTGAGAACTCATTAATCCCCCCTCCTCCAGGGAGAGCATGAATCCATTCATGAGGCATCTGCCCCCATGATTCAATCAGTTTCCAACACTGCCACATTGGAGATCAAATTTCCACATGAATTTTGGAGGGGACAACACATCCAAACTCCGTCATAAGACATGCAACCTCATTAAAAAGTGGACAGAAGATTTGAATGAGCACTTTATTAAGTGGCAATTCCACTCCTAGGTGTTTACTCAAAAGTAGTGAAAACAGGTTCATCCATAGCCTTTACATGAATGTTTACAGCATTTATTTAAAATAAGCATGATATTCATGATGGATACAACCTAAGTGTCTATCAACAGATGAAAAAGTAAACACATTATGGAACATCCATTCAATAGAATATTTCTTAGCAATAAAAAGAAACTCCTGATACAACAGAGATGTATCTCGAAAGCATTATGCTAAATGAAAGAAGACAGGCTCAAAATGCTGCACAGTGTACAGGAAACTCTAGACAAAGGAAAATCTATACTAGAGAAAGCAGTTCGGTGGTTGTTAAGGGGTAGGCGGGAGGTGGCTGGCTGCAAAGCGTATGAGGGATGGAAATGTTCCATCTCATCTGTGGTGGCAGTTACATGGCCACATTCATTGAGCTTTTTATATAAATGGGTGGATTTTATTGTATATAAATTCTTCCTCAGTAAAACTATTCGACACATACACATGCAGACACATGCACACACCCAGAGCACATCATTTGGGAGTGTGGAAACACTGGTTTTCTCACAGGATCTCTCCACTGGCAGTGTTGGCAGATTGTTTTGTAGTTGAAAACTAGAGTTACACACTCTGCTATCAGACAATGTTAGCCATGGGTTTCTCTGAACTCAGGGCAGCATTCTCCCCACAGAATTTTTACCTGGAGTTTTCTTGAATCACTAACTGATCTGTTTCCCTGAGAACACTGTGACTCATTTACATGAATTTTCTTCCCAAACTTGTGAGCCTACATGACTCTCATGACTTCACAAGAGTCAAAATCTTGATTTGTAAAAGTCCTTTCATGCTTTTTCCTCTTGAGCATCCACCACTCACTCCTCGCTTTGGGGAATCTGCTAGAAACCGGTCAACAGTCTGGAATCCTGCAGATGCTAAGAGGGGAGAGCATGTTAGATTGCAGAGGGGGTACAGCTGGGGAGGAGGAAGAGGTGTGGTCGTGCAAGGTGTGAAAAGACCCTCCCGATCTCGTTGTGCCTTCCCT